AGCGGGGGGGGGGCGATGCCATGAGAGTGAGTCACGATCGTTAGAAAAGATACACAAACTTGAGGTTTTCTCGACTCAGTAGTCAAAGGTATTTCTCTAATATGTGTTTATCTAGAATGGACACCCTGAAAACCCGTATTTTCTACCTGACGAGCTACTCACCAGCATTAGCAGCCACAAAAGCTTCGCCATCTGGGAACAAAATCGCGTTCACAGGCTTATGCAAATCAAGATATTTGCAGTGTGTGAGAAGTTGAGAATTCTGCAAATTTAAAATTTTGCAAGTCGAGACAGTTGATATATAGTGAGAAGTTGAAAATTTGAGACTTTGAGAGTTTCAGAATTCTACAAATTCAAAAGTTTGCAAATCAAGTATTTCGCTGCATCGTGAGAGGTTGAAAAGTTAAGCATTTGAGAATTTGAGAATTCTGGAAATTGACAACCCTTTAACTCGAGAAATTTGCTCCATAGTGAGAAGTTGAGAATTTGAGAATTATTCTTCAGTACATTCGGCATATAAACGCAAGGCAAGACAAAAATATATGGGTTGATAGAGAATTTCAACCTCTATCAGAATCTATAATTGCTTGTTTAAAAATTTATTTTCATAGTGGCTATATTTTGAAAAAAGGAGAAAAGTAACGATTTTTGGTACTTGTCAATTGACGATGTGTTCATTGTACTTAAATTATTTTTCCATCAATGAATGCAAATAAATAGGTAAATATACAGGGTGATAGAGAATTTCACGCTCTATCAGAATATGTGATTACTCTTTTCAAAACCTATTTTTAATACTTAAAAAATCTTAAAAAACTATATGAGATTACAATGATTATATTAAGTGTGTGGAAATGGGGTACGGAAGGTGTGTTCATTTCTTTGGAATAATTTTTTTACATAGCGATCCAAACAAAAATATAAATATACAGGAAGATGTAAAATTCTGGAAATTTAAAGTGTTGCAAACCGAGAATTTTGCCGTATAGTAAGAAGTTGAGAGGTTGAGAATTCGGCAATTTCAAAATTTTGGAAATCGAAAATTTCGCTACATCGTGCGAGGCTGAGATGTTAAGTATTTGAGAAATCTGGAAATTCAGAACTGTCGAATTGGAGACATTTGCTCTATAGTGAGAAGTTTAGAAGTTGAGAGTTCTGCAAATTCAAAATTTAGGAAATCGAGAATTTCACAAGCAATTTGGGAATTCGAGAATTTTCGAAATTCAAAATCTGGCAAATGGAGACAATACCTAATGAATCTGCAAAGAAAATAGAAGTGCTACCCTTTGTGTGGCTGCTTTAAAAATGCATTTTATTCTATTTAGTTTACTAGAAAATCTGAAGCACTGCAAAGTTTTGTAGATTAATAAGATCAGTTTCGGCTTCTAATTGATTTTTCATATAATCTAAAAGATGTTTCAGTTTCTGTCCGTCTTTGTTATATCTAAGAAATCTAGAAATGTTTTTGGCTTCTTTTGCTATAAACAGTCTTTGCATAAAAACTTAATAATTTCTAAGTTTAGTCTCTTTAAAGCAATGACAGTAGTTGCTCAGTAAGTACTGATACTGTCTTACTGAGGAAGAACTTACTTAGTAAATAGTACTGAGCTTTTCTTCGATGCAGACTGCAGCTATGAAACGTTTTTGAAAAATAATCTCAGTTTTATCTTTATGAGATAGGACGTCCTTACTCACGAAGTACTTACTTAGTAAGGCAGGACTGCTATACGTTTCTTCAATGCAGACTCAGAAGAATTCTCCTTTCCTTACTTGAAGAAGTTTCATTACTATTAGGTTGAGGAAAAAGTTCGTGCGCCGTGTTAAAATAATGATTTTTTATGCATGAATTTATTCAAAAACAACAACAACTATTCTTCAAAATAAAGACCGTCATTGTCCACGACCTTCTGCCAACGATCTGCAAGCTTTCGGATTTGGTCAAAGTACCACTCCTTCCTACCGTAATTCCTAGTTATTCCGAGGAATTCCTAGCAATTCCGCGTGGAAGGAATTCCGGAAATTGCGTCATAGAAGAAGTTGTATAGTTTTGATCACTGCCGTATATCAGTACATGCTTCAAGTAATTCCAGAATTCCCAGTAATTCCGGAATTCCCAGTAATTCCTAGTTATTCCTAGTAATTCCTAGGACTTCTGAGGGGAAGGAATTCCGGAAATTCCCTCATAGAAGAAGTTGTACGGTTTTGGCCACACCCGTACATCAATACATGCTTCAAGTAACTCCGGAATTCCTAGTAAGTCCTAGTTATCTCTAGTAATTCTAGGAGTTCCGCGTGGTAGGAATTCCGCGAATCCCCTCGTAGAAGAAGTTCTATAGTTTTGATCACTGCCGTATATCAATAGATGCTTCAAGTAATTCCGGAATTCCTAGTAATTCCTAGTTATTCCAAGAAATGCCTAAGAATTCCGCGTGGAAGGAATACCGGGAATTCCCTCATAGAAGAAGTTGTACAGTTTTGATCACACCCGTACATCAATACATGCTTCAAGTAACTCCGGAATTCCTAGTAAGTCCTAGTTATCCCTAGCCGTAAATGTGAAACAATATTGCTCGAATTGTAACATGTTGCTAAAGAACAAAATTGATCCATCGTTTACTCAACAGATTGAGGGCTATTTTACGACGCCTGTTGTTAAATTCGTATGCTCTTATTATCGTGCTAGCCTGAGAATATTTGGCTATATACGGTGAGATTTGCCACGATCTACCTATCAATAGCAACAGCACCTGGTACTTCTGATCCAATTTGAAGCATCGTAGGCATGCACGATAATACCATTGAGTATAATGTTGAATTATTTCCAATCAAATTACTTTTGGTTACCATAGGAAATGCTACAGTACCAATGTCGGTAATATTTGCGGCTGGACATTCATTCATTACATATAATTATATCATAACTGGCATATTAACTTGAATATCTATGCATGGATCAGTTTAAGGTGAACTGTTAAGTATGGGACGTTGTGTGCATGTTGGTGTAAACATGTACTAAAAATTATACTGGTACTGAACTGAACGATTGGTTTGTGGTACTATTCCAAAAATCTTCAATTTAAATAAAAGCGTAGGCTTTTTTCTGATAAGAGTAAAAGTAAATTAATATGAGAGAAATATAGCGTGAAAGACAGTTTATCTACCTGTATTGTAACTGCATAATAATTATTAGACACAGTACCCGTAATTTTCATTGTACAGTTTGGATAAAGTATTGTTCCAGTAGGTAAGGATCCTGCTGAGCAAAAATTTTCACATTCATCACTACCACTTGCCCACCTGCATCGTACATCGTCATTATCTGCATCTGCTGTTGGAATATTAATAATTTATTGAACATTCAACTGGATATTGATAGATGATACCATAATGGATACCGGTGATGTATTTATTTTCCCATCTGGTCGTAGTTGTACATCAATATCGCACGCTATACTCCAACCAAGACCTGATCCGCCACCTAATGTTTGCCGGGGAGAACCTTGATAAGCAACAGTAAAACTAGAATTTGCTGTAATATCAACAATATCTGAACGTTGACCAACTACTACACCTAAGGCCGTACTAATATTTGTACAATAGGGTCTAATTAAAGGCGGATCATAACCAATGGATGACATGCAATTTAGTATACAATTCAATATACCGGTCTACAGAGAGGTATAAGTATTATATCCTATCAATATTTTATTCGATATTATCTGAAATGTACAATTATTTTTGCTAATGATCAATCATACGTTTGTGTAATTAACATTGATACCTGATTATCAGTGACATTTCCTGTTGGACGATAAGTGACAGAACCGTCACGAAAATGCGTTGCTTGAACAACGAATATCCAAGTGACAATATAAATTGGATAGTTTATCATCATCTCGAGGAAACATAATACTTTATACCTACGTTATTGTTCGATTATTGATTCTACACAAAAATAAATATCAGTGCTGTCCTATCATTTGTTGAGTAGATTAAACATCTCTCTACAAAAGCTATTTTGTAGAAAATTGTTTGCTCTACAAGATTTAATAGCTTGTCAAGTTCGAAACTATTCTAATTAATCTGTATTAATTAAAGAAACACCAGAAAAACCGTGATGCTATGACACAAAACGGTCAAAAGTGTCACAGCATCACAATTTTTCTTTAATTAATACAGATTAATTAGAATAGTTTCGAACTTGACAAGCTATTAAATCTTGTAGAGCAAACAATTTTCTACAAAATAGTATACTTGTACAATTTTCATCTGCTCGTCTTCCCTTTTTGAGACACGTTTTTCAGATGGCCCCTAGATCGATTTTTTGGGCTGTTTGTACAACAGCTGTATTTTCATAACGAATCGACGTTCGGGGCCGAAACACTTTTTATTGTAGAGAAATGTTTAATGTACTTAATTATCTGGTTGCAATTTTAGATTAGTTTGTAGCTTTATTGCAATGATGCTTTGAAAATGAGTGAAAAAAGGGGACAGTTAGCTGGACAAGCCATCAAGTACAAAATATAGTTTAAGAAGACTTGAGAATAGTGCGGTCACGAACGCAAAATATTCAAAAACATGCGCGCGATTCAGTGCTGATAAAATCAGCAGTGTTAGATTTCTCTTTAGAAGCAATTCTCTTCAATGATATGATATTTTATTTTTTAAGAAGCGTGAACAAGTATGTAATACAAACAGAAAAAACATGTTCTTACAGTCTATTTTTCTCCTTTGTTGTTTCGATTATCTCTGGTCCCATTTGCATTTTATCAGTTGCCACTTTTTATTCATAAATACCAAATATTTTCCATGATTTTAACGAACTATTCTAAATGATCCATCAGCAATTTCTCCACGCCAAGAATTTTGAATGTTGATCATCTTTTGAACCAAAATGTAATTCGGATAAAAATAACATTTATTGTGTGTTCAAATCAACATTGGATAGTAGTAAAAAATGGCAAATTGGGGAAACTGTTTCTTCTGTTGATATGTCTTTTATACCTCATATAATACAAATCAGTTAATGATGAAAAGAAGCGTGTATCTGCTGTTGAAATTTGTGAAACTGGAGCAGAATGGCGGGAATGACTCTGTAAACCTTGCAAACCCCATCAAATTTCTATAGGTATAAATAAGAACAATTTTTTTATTTCATTCTAACCGTTAGACGCATGGAAAAATAATTACAGAGCGGTTTTAGAAAATTATGTTTCTGTTCTAGGAAAATGGATTTTTTCGATAAAAAATTTTAAATTGTTCCAGGGATTTGCCAGGGAACTTCTACAAACCCTTTCTGGTCTTTTTTTGCAGATCTGCTTGATTAGCTAGCTCTGCTACCCGAGTGTAATTCTGTCACGCCTTCTTTGCATTTTGCTTCTCTTATAGTTTTCAAACAAGGAGACGTCAAGAGCTCTCGAACTTCCCAAATTAAAGGAAAAAGTACTCTGAACGTTTTGAGATGTGCCAGCACGCTATCGTTCAGCAGCTGTGGTGAGATTACAAACCCCTACTTTTCAAAACCTAGCCGATCATATGAGACCACCAAATGCAAAAAACCAAAAATGTCGATGTTGATGTGCGGCATTATATGATAGCGACATTTCTAAACCTTTTTAGCTTGATATTTACTAATCCTGCTCATAGGCATTTCGCCAAAAAAAGCATTCAGCTTGTGATTAAAAAAGTATTTCCAACTTTATATACAGCATGTAATGGGCTTGTTTGTTGCCTTGTTTAGCTAAGAAATGTTTAGATTGAAATAACACCGTACCAATACAGAAAAGTTTTCGAAATCACACTCTTCTGGATACCTACAACATTGATCGATATAACTGGCATGTTAGGTGAAAAAGCTGGTGTAGGCTAATTTCTACACACGCTAGTCAAATTTCATTAAACGTGACGCGTAAGGGATTGAAGGATGCTGTTTCATTTCGTTCATTAAGATATTTTACAAAATAAAGGTACAATGTTCCGAAAGCTTAGATACATTCTTGAAGTAGACTGAAACACTGTGATCACAACTGTTTCCCTCGTATTTCAATTCAAATTCAATTCAATTTATTTTAGTCTATGATGTTGATAAAATGACAGGGTAATGACAAAAGTTCAACAAGGATCAATGTCTAGGTCATCCTCAGTAAAAAACAAAAAAGAGATATAAAACAAAAACAGTTTGGACAGTAGAAAAAAAATGGCACAGTAAATAGAATAAGGCTTAGTATGTACTATTAACTACTGTAAGAAACAATATGTTTCTTTAATGCACGTTTAAAAGCTCGAGCACTAAAGGCAGCAATCACTTCTCTTGGTAACTGATTCCACTCTTTTATAGTTTTTGGTAAAAATGAAGATCTAGTAGTTTTAGGTTTTAACAAGGGAACCTGCCAGAGACATCGATTAGAGGTTTGCAAAGAAGTTCTACTTGTAAGAGGTTGTACTAACGAAAAGCGCGAAAGTGCACCCTGTAATAATTTTGTGAAAGAAGATTAACCTGAAAAATTTTCTTCTTTGAGCAAGGTCTAGTAGTTTTAAGTTCGTGATCAAAGAGGAGCTGTCGGATCTATAGTCATTTGATATTATACGCGCAGCGGGTTTATGAGTTGATGTTAGTAAATCGAGATGCGTTTTGAAATCATTGTCAAATACTACACAACAATAATCCATTACTGGCAAAATACAGGTTTTATAAATATGCAGTCAAATAAAAGTAGGAGCAGATCCGAATATTCGATTCATAGTGCCTAACATTTGCCTGCACCTCCTAGCTGTATTTTCAAGATGAAATTTCCATGTAAGATCAGATGAAAGATAAACTCCTAGCAATTTTATATTTTTTTCGATCATTATTTGCTTCCCACTTAATAAAAGAGGTGGGAACTGCTCCGGTGGTTTTTGATTAGGAAACGGCATATAGCAGCATTTATCGGTATTTAAATCTATCTCGTTTTCTACACACCACTTCGACATAATATCTAGGAGGTTCTGTACCTCGGATAAATCAAAAAAGTTTTGTAACGAGACTAATCTGAAGACGTCGTCTGCGAATAAAGAAGCCGTTACCTCAATAGGAAACTGTAAAACAAGGTCGTTGATGAATATCAAAAATAATAGAGGACCAATCATACTGCCCTGAGGCACTCCAGATGTAACCAGCGCAGGTTTAGATATTTTATCATTAACTATTACTACTTGCTCTCTATTACTTTAATAAGATTTAAACCATTCTAAAAAATTCCCTTCTACTCCTGCTTTTTGTAGTTTTTCTAACAAAAGTCTATGAGTCACCGTATCAAGAGCTTTGCAAAGTCAAAAGCAACTCATACTGCTATTTTTCTTTCTTCTAAAATATTACTTAACTTAGTTGTTATATGTAAAAGAGCGTCAACTGTTGAAGAACTTGGCCTAAAGCCACATTGTATGTTAGTAAAAAAACGTTTTTCGTGCAAGTGACTAAGTAAACATTTATGAATAAGAAGCTCAAAAACTTTGCTAATATTAGATAAGAGAGAAATTGGTCGATAATTAGAGCACAGATTTCGTGCTCCCTTTTTATGGATTGCTTTTATTATCGCTTTTTTCC